CAAGGTAAGTGCGTATTTTGGATCCGCACTTCGTTTTCCCTTATATGAATATCGCTTTCTCTCCGTGAACGTTGTGCCTAATCGTTACTGCTACAGTATCTATACTCCTTGTGTTATCGTATTAGGATCGCATCATTGTCTTTTGCCATAGGACATTCATAATGATCCAACAGAAGCCAATCGTGCGTTTTGGCACTCGTGCCAAATGGTAATGGCCGCCGCTATCGAGTCCGCATTTAAGGATGAATTCCGCATTCGGTTGCTCACTTTTCACGAAACTTCTCTGCGATCGGGTAGTTTTGTTGCTGATTTTCGAATGGAGCTCAACTCAAGACAGACTTTAGAAGATATGGTTAAGTGGACCCCAACGGAACGCGAGTTGCGCGCGTTGTCTCAGGTCGGTCAAACTATTGCGTCTAATGCGCAACCCTTTGAGGTCCTAGATGCTAGCTCAGAGGGGATTCGAAGCATCCTCCAAGACGACTACAGACTAGCATGGTTACGTAAAGAGGGTGGTTCTACCCCCTCTTCTCTATATCGCGTTGGGCATTATGTTCAGGTAACTTTGCTTTTATCGATCACCAACCTACACTAAGTTGTGCAATTCGATAAAACCTCTCGTACAATTGATGCGGTAAATCTGAGAAGACGGACTTTTGACCTTTAAATTACCCCGTTAGAGATATTCAATGCGTTTAAAGGCTTCTACCCCAATTTTCTCCTTTTAGGTTCACGCCAAGGCGCCTATGATTGCCAACTCCTCCCTAATTGGCCGATTCTCGATAACGTCACTGCGGCTCCTGGGGCGATTTGCGACAGAGCACGTGAAGCCGGACGACTCCCCCCACCAACTCGTTTTCAGAGCCCAGGGAGTAGCCATGCCAACTGCCTTTTTGACCCACTTCACTACATTCGATGTTCTGATCCGAAGAGCCAGACAACCAAATGACGCGCTTCCTAACGTCCCGAATTATGTGGAGCCTCTGTGATACGTTTTACTCAATCTTAGTCTACTATGATGTGAACAGTAAACCCCTTTGAAGCAGTACAGAAAATAACTTTTATGCTTATTCGATTGATATCAATCGTTATTAATACAATCAAAAAATGACTTATTTTTCGAATCTGTACAAAGAAGAAAAGGAAAATAATGTACTCATAGGCGAAATAGCGAAACCAGCAATGACAGTGAGAAAGGTGGGGACGGATTAAATGCAGACCACATTGGACTGGAACTGTGGTTGGGCATGATGTTTAGGGAGCGGTGGGGATGGTGGACTTATCGCTGGCTCCATTGGCACTGTCGTCTTCAGGCGAACTGAGTAAACCCTCTGGCTTGTCCTTCAAACGGAAGGCCTTTCTACGACGGCAGGGGTATGCGGGAAATTCCGTAGGGCGCTCCGTAGACAACTCCCCATTCACTGCATCGGAGTCCGAGATGGGCAGATCGGACACAGGTGTCTAAAACAAAAAGCAGCGGCAGTTGTCAGACAACGGTCCTGTTTATCATACAAGGCTACTAGATCGTCATGGCGACCACGATCTAGCGGTGATATCCACTTTATCTAGATGCTTATCTGTTCGGGTATTTCTCACTATTCAAGTAACGACATCCAAATCGGCGAACTCAAAAATTTGGAGTTTAGTGATTTAATGCGCGGCTTTATCAAGGCCAATAAAAGGTTTACAAAGTAGGCAATAGATTATTACTACCAGACGATCAAAATCTAGCCAATAAAATTACACCTAGCGGTTAGTTCTACTTACACAACCGTTGCACCAATCTCCATCCACCTTCCCATCATAGACCGTCTTGTAGAGTGCATGATGAGGAAGGGTTTGGAATTCAGCGTAGAGAGTGGCAGTGTCCTCAGCAGCCTCTCCAGCTCCAAAACTCAATTCACCCGTCTCTTCCTCTTCCTCCTCGGGTAGAATGATAACCTGGTCACCGGGATCCACAGTCACCCCTGAAGAATCAAGAAAGGAAGTAGGTGGACTGTTACTGGAGCGGCGCGGATGTTGTTGTTGAAGGAAGGAATTGGGAGAGAAGAGAGGTGAGGGAGAGAAGCCACATAAGGATCGTGACAACAGCACCGACGACGCCGACTGCACCCCGCTTGTCATGTCGATACCATCGTCATCATCATCGTCAAGAGTCTCGCCAATCGTCGAACGATTCAGGTAACCATCCTGAGTAACCTGATTAAGTTAAGCAAATTTCAAAATGATTGATCACTATATTGAAGCAGTATACTAGATAGGCAAAAGACACCACAATTTTGTGGTTGAAAAGCCTTCCTACTTTGAGGTAGGCGTCTCTGGAGAGAGCAACGGGATTGTCAACGGGCAACCACGGAGAGGAGGACTGAGAAGAGGTTGTTGTCGTAGTAGCTGATGAGGACTGCCGGCTCCCGCCACCCGCTGAATGGCAAACACACTTGCAGCAGGGCTCTCGTCCACTACTACCATCGCCTCTGCCAATACCTCCGCTGCCCGGAGGCGGTGAATAGTACACTGGAGGGAGTTGATTTGACTTCCGTTGCCATGGCGAAGAACTGGGTGCGGGAGCGGAAAGTTCACGTTGTGTATTCCACTGTCGACGAGTAGGCTGTCGACTTCGATCAACGGAAACTGAGGTCAGAGCTAGAGTGGAGGATATTCGACCCAGACAAGACTGAGCTTTTCCCACCACACCAGCTGCATGCTAATAAGGGTAATATATTGCATGAAAAGACTTTTTAAAGGAAAAAAATAAAAACAAGACGATAACCTACATTAAATTCATCCGCCGTGAAGGGTGAGAAAGTGACCCGCGCGAAGGATGCCGACTGTGGGGCTGTAGGAGGATAAGAACGCACGGGGGCAGAGGAGTTACAGTCGAGGAAAAGAGGTGCGATGGAGGCGACGTGAAGAGCAGACCATAAAGCCAGTGGCACGGGGTTTACCGGGGCTACCCCTCCTGTTTCTTCACCCTCCTCCTCTTCGCCTTCGGTTTCATTACTCTCCTCTCCCTTTGTCTCCACTGCCATCGCCTCATCTGGTTGGTAGAGGACGTCGAGACTTTGTGACTTGATACGAAGGGGGAAGGGACGCCTGCATACTCCGCCCTTTGTCTCTCCGTCAGATGTTGCTGAGAGAGTACAAGGTCTTGGAATGGAAGCTACAGCAGCGGGAAGGGGAGCTGGAGGTGGTGGTATGATGTCGAGAAGCCGACGTCGAGGTCCCAAAGTGCGATTTGATTGACGCAAAAGATAAGGTGGCAGTGGAGGAATCTGCATAGCTGTTGGAACGTAGTTGCTACAAAATTTATGCATGTTTATGGTGAGGAAGGAAGGCGATACCATAAGATTGTCTATTTCATATCTTACCATTGAGATGACTCCATCGCCATCTTCCTGTTTTCTACATCTGGACTACTCTTAACAGTTCCCTCAGGCAGGATTGTCGATGAATCGGGTGAGATAGAATCGCGGTGCTTCTTTGTCAAGCCTGACGACTTTCGGCTGCCGCCACTTACTCGCCGCTGTCTGTTGCGTTCTGTCTGGAACAGCTTGTGGAGCAGGAGGCGTCGTGGCGTTGTTGACAAAGATTTGCGCTTGCCAGGGGCTCGACCAGTTTGAGAAGCTGCACCAGAGGTTGTAGTGCCAGAAGGAGGAATGGGTGGAGGAATTGGAGGCGATAAATCCGACGTTATCGTAGGAACTGGAGGCGGTGGGGATGACAGCGGGACAGATTCGCAGGCAGGGGAGGACGGCTTGCCTGAGCCGCTGTTATGCTTACTTCTCGAAGCGTGAAAGAGGGCAGACAAACCAATCCGGTGACGCTTTGAAGTGTTGACACTCCCATTTGCCCCCGAAGTTGACGAAGTTGCAGGTTTTCGATCAGATGAGGTGTCTGTGGGATCAAAAGCGGAGCTCCCTAAGGTGAAAAAAAGCAACTAGATAGAGGTGTGCTTTATACGTAACCCATTCCAAAATGACCAAATAAGACGATTTCAAAACAAAGCGGAGGTTTTAAAAATTCCAAGGAAAACAAAATTAACTCACGTGATACTGTGTGCCGACCTTCAAGAGTGCTGGGTCTGGTCTTGGAGCAGCCAACTTGTTCGCAAAGCTCAGGAGCACTCTTATAGCTTGTCAAACCTCCAGTACCGCTGGATTTGAGAAGCCGTTGGTGGTACCTTTGCTGCAGTGTTTGAGATGTCATTTGCGTAATTAGTGGCGCGGCACCAGTAAGGCCATTCTGTGCATAAAGGAAGGCGAAGTGGCGGGCTATATCAGCAGCATCATCAGTAGGTGAGAAAACAATGCTGCTTGGGTGGACAGGTGGGTCCGTGGATTGGCTGTCCGTACGAGGGCGAAAGTAGGATGAAGAGGAGGCGGATCCGCCGCCATATATAGTGGGACTGGTGGGCGAGGGAATTGAGGGTCCTAGGAAGGTGTTGTAACTCCCCGGAGAAAAATTGCACCGGTAAACAGGAGCTGGAAATAAAAATATATAACTTCCATAACGATGAGCTCTTGTTCAAAAGTTAGAAGGCAAAGTAAAGTTATGAATACTCACGATAAAGTTCATTATTTGACTCAAAGACGAGATTACAAGGTACGTGAAAGACATGACGAACATCGGAGGGATAGGAGATACCAGGACTACTTTTGCTGGTCTTCCTTCCACCATACCGACGACCAGTCGACTTTACCGCGGGCGAGTAATCACGTGGTGAGTACTCACCGGCACCAGCAGTGCTAGTGACAGTGGCGGAGGAGATTTCACCGTCTCCTGACATCAACGGCGTCGAGTTGACTGCTGATGGCTTCTGTTCATTACGGCGAAAAGGATTGTAGATGAAGGGCTTCTTGCGAGGCGCTGGTGGTGCCAGGGGTGGTGGATTGTTGTACAGGGTGCTGACCACAAGAACACTAAGAATTTGATTGTCCTTCTGGAAGAGAAAGCATAAGGAATGCACAGACAGGTCAGTTTTGAGTCTAATAGCTAAAATGCTAGCTTAAACAGGAGAGTGGTTAACATTCACCTGGAGCCCAGCTATAGTGCCCTGACAACGTGCCATATTCTGCCGCATAGCTTGGAGAGCGTCACGCATTTTGGCGTTCTCTTGCTGAAGGTATTCATTTTGTCGTCGCAATGGAGAGCTGGCCTCGCTTGAACACGACTCAGACAAAAGACTCTAAACATATGAGTTTGGTGAATTGGATGTATGACAAATGTCCTGCTTCCCGCATTCAAAAAAGATACATCAAGAATTTCACCAAGTATGGATTTAAACTACCTACCACATTTTAGAGATCTTTCATTTAGTCGCTTTTACTTATTTTATTTAAGTAAAAAGTGAAACCAATATACTAAAAACCCACTAGCTCGGCTTCATCGGAGATTTCTCGAACCCAGGCGGTCTGAAGAGTCGTGAACTCTTCCGTGGAAAGGGAGAAGAAAGGATCATGTTGGGCACTTAAGAGACGGTTGTAGATATCACAGAAAGTCGGCCGATCCGTTCGTTCATCAGCCCAGCAACCTAAAAACAGGAGGATTCTTCATAAAAGCTCTGCAGTTGAAAAAGGATGCGGCTAAAAATCAACCATGAGATTAAGCATCAGCTTCGAGAGCAGGATAGTCTCGAAAAAAATTGTTTGTTTCCATCTTCAGAATCGAATAAATAGTTGGGCAATTTGCAAGTGCACTAGTTGAATTAACTGTGTAACAGTAAGTTCGCATATTTCTTTGTGACTGCTTGATCGTTGACGTTAAAATCCCCACAAACGATTGAATACAAAGTTATTAGAAATAATTCGCAATAATAGAAAATTAGAATGCATTTAAGGCACTAACATTATGATTGCATACACGAATATGAAAAA